AACGATGCTTCCTCGGCAGCGTCCACGAACAGAAAGGGGTAAGCTAACGAATGTATCTCCTCACCTGGTTTTCTACTATTAAAGGATTATTTAAATTGGCTACCTAGAGAAGATCTCCATGATGTTGTGAGCCATATTCTGAGACAGCAGAAGAAAGGCCAGTCATGCTCCCTTATCTGTGTCCTGGCAAACACTAAACCTGCCCTACCCTGTATATTTGGTTAGAGGCGATAGTGTCAAACCACCACTTCTGACCCAATAATGCGCCTTGTCTCCTTCATGCACTGGGGACTTCCCTTCTTACAATAAGCTTCTATTACTTCGGAAGCAAGAGATTTGAATTCTTTGTAAACACTAAAGCAAGTTAAGAGGGTCTTGCTATTTGATGCACCAACCTAGAAAGTTCCGTATGGATCTTCAGATCTGCACGATATAGAAAATAAACACCCAAACCAAAGTGATGGTTCCCCTCTGTAGAATATGAAGTGAGGTGGCCGATGATGAAGCTGACTTGCGTGTTTTGAATGGATGTTATGATTATGTTGCATTCACACTGTGGTGGATTTGTGACATGGAATCAAGCTCTTTCTTAGGGAGACTAATAGATCCTTAATGTATATTGAGCCATACCTAGTATTTGGTTCTAATGTACTGAGCTAGCCATGTTAGCCAAAAGAATTGACCTAGCCCTCTCCCTGAAAGACCTAATAACCAGGAAGACAAAGGGTGTTGTGCTGTATGGCCAAAAGTACTGGCATCATAAATCAGAGCAGGTTGTATGCAGAGAATGAAAATTCAGGGTTTGTCTTTCTGGCAACCTTAAGCTTTTTAAGTCGGATTATTTTTTCTTATGATGAAATAAGGTTTTATTCACTTGAGAGACACCATAAAGATGTTTGATTGTTGGAAGACTAGAAAAGAAAATTCATTCAAGAACACTAAAGCATAGCGCTTATTAGATAAAAATATAACGAAAGATTGGGGAGGGCCTGTTTTACTTCATTGGCTTCATGAGTAGCATTAGTACATATCCTTAATAAAGAAGAACAAAATAGGAATTTTAAATCTCTCAGAAGCAAATTCTTGAGTTTGTATTAGACTACTTAGAAGTTTTGAGAACATGACAATGCTGCTCTAAAAATCAATTAAATCAAAGCAAGAGAAGTTATACAAACTACTATTTTTTCTAAGACATATGCTATTTCCCCAGAAATAATTATTACCTTTCTCCTTTCAGCATATTGTGAAAATGGCATGTTTATTTTGGGTTTTGAGTTCTAAGAAGACATTTGATACCAAAATTAAAAATACTGTATTCTTATTACTAATAGCCTTTCCAAAAAAATGTAAAAATTTTCAGAAAAAGAAAATGATTCAAGGTATTCCCAACCTACTTTATTGCTTTTGTAGAATTAAGTAGGCTTCTTTAATCAAATTCATTTTTTCCTTTGCCTTCAGCCATTGCCAAGAATAAAATCCTCCTACACCTGTTCACTCACTTTTACTCCATAACACTCCAGTTGCTGTTTCTAGGGAAAGGTTAAAATTCATAGTAATGTATTTCCTGCTGACCACCATATTTGTGCTGCCATAGCTGTGTTCTGGGCCAATTTCTTTTGCCATCTGTTCTCAGCATGGGTAAGTTGAGATTCACATGACAACAGGCAAGAAGCAAAACTAGATGTTTTCATCTGACTTCTTCCCCAGAAGCATGGCTGATCTTTGCCAATTAGACTTTTCACTGGAGAATAACTCGACATGGAATATCATGCAACAAAGTTTTTAAGTGTTGATTTTGCAGTGTTTGCTACTAAGCTCCTCTATGTATAATTTTTTAAAGTATTAAAAGTATTTTTGTTTCATAGCCTGCTTTATTCACCTAATGTTATATTTTAAGTATTTTCCCATATTATATCCCCCCCTCCCCATTCAAAGGCAATTTGTGTTTATTGTACCCAACTTGGAAAATAAAGATAACAAAAAAAGATAAAAATCAAGTATAATTTCTCCACTATTAGGATTTTGAACCTGTGTACATATATAAATGTATTATACATAATATATAATACGTTTATATATGAAACATGCATATTTTTATTTATTAATTTTTTTTTGGCAGCCAGCCAGTAAGGGGATCCAAACCCTTGACCTTGGTGTTATCAACACCATGCTCTCCCATGTGAGTTAACTGGCCAGCTTTTTTGTTTATATATATATATATAT